GGAACAAATGGCGGTTGGTTGGGTTCTGAAAGTCGTCACAGACTGGCTTAGTGGGTATATGCAGGGTCATGTCATCCACTGACGGCAAGGGAAACTGGCAATCCTTTTGAGATGACGGCACAGCGCTTGATGCTATGGGAAAAGAATTTGTGATTTTCTTGGGTCCCAAATATAATTCTTCAGTATTAAAAAAATCTGTTTATTGAGCCCTTTTTAAGGAAGGAAGGATAGATGTATTCTTGGTGAAGGTATGGCTTTATCTGGGCCATTAAGGAGTAACATTTATGTAGGCGGAGAGACTCAGTGAAGGTATTCCTGGTAGTAGAAAAGTTAATGGGAACCTGTAAACAAGCAGGCATGGAAGACACCTTGAGGAATGGTAGGAGGTGAGCTTTTAAATGGACTGAAGGATGTGAACAGACATTTCTCCAAAGACAGTAATAAACAGCCAGCAAGCACTTGAAAAGATGCTCAGTATCACCAGTCATTAGGAAAATGCAAATCAAAACCCAAGTGAGATACTTCATACCCTTAGTATGAAGCAGTATAAGTAACAAATTGTATATTAGTATGAATAACAAAACAACCCTCCTTCCCCCCGAAAAAAGCCCCCAGAACAAAACAGATATTGACAAGAATGTAGGAAAACTAGAATTCTTGTGCACTGCTGGTGGGAATATCAAATTGTCTAGCCATTGTGGAAAATGGTATGGTGATTCCTAAAAAAATGAAATATTTATAAATGAATGTATACCCAGAAGAACTGAAAGCAAGTCTTTAGAGCAGATATTTGCACACCCATGTTCATAGCAGCTGAACAGATAAACAAAATGTGGTGTACACTTACAGTGGGGTAGTTGTGATATTTGCAGTATCAGCCTTAAAAAGGACGTAAGTTCTGACATGTTACAGCAGGGGCCCACCTCGAAGGCATCATCCTCAGTGAAATGAGCAAGGCGCAAAGGGTGAGCGCTGCATGATCTCGTTCACACGGGAGCCTAGGAGAGTCGGATCCGTAGGGACACAGGGGGATGGTTGCCAAGGGCTGGGGCAGGGGGCACGAGGGGCTCATGTTTAGTGGGGACAGGGTTTCAGTTTGGGAAGGTGAGGAAGTTCTAGGTATGTGTGGTGGTGATGACTGCATAACTGTGAACGTACTCAATGCCACTGAACTGTATGTTTAAAAATAGTAAAAATGGTAAACTTTGTTACTGAAATCCATTTCTCATTTCCTGCCATTCTAAGGCACATTGCCTCAGGGTATTGGGTGGTGAGGGTGCAGAGGGAGAAAGGAGTTTATTCAACAAGCAGCTGCTTGTTCTGCTAAGCTTCCCGTTGGCTCTCTGCTGAGGTTGCATGAGAGAGGTATTCATTTGTGTTCCCATTCGGTGGTTGAGAAACTGAGGCTGAGGATGGAGACTGTGCCTGGAGCTCATGGAGCCAGGCAGCAGACCAGGCCGAGCTGCCTCCCGTACCTGCGCTCCCTGCACCGTCCCAGCCCGCCTTGCGGTCCCCGGAATTTCTGCCATCTGGCCTTCCCGGAGTAGAGTCATTCTCCTTGGCGTGCCTTCGCAACGGCAGCATGCACCGTAAAGGCTGTTTAGTTTTTTTAAAGAGCTGTTCTGTGGCTGCCAGTCCATTGGAGAGGAGAAATAGGTTAGCAGATACAATAATTGAGGGCTTAGTGTTTGTCTTGCCAGGAAGTCTTATTGCAGTGTGACTTTCGAAGGAGAAATGGAGGCAGGCAGGCAGGCTCCGTTGATCCTTTTGGAAGAATGGCTTGACTTTGCTCTTGTCACAGGAGAAAGGTGCTCGAGTCCCTGCTGTGAGCATGTGCTTTGCGGCCCCAGTCCGGCGTTGTCAGTGCCTGCCCTGTTGCTGTGTGCCCACACAGGGCGCTCTGACTGCCACCCTCACCGCTGCTCTTCGGGAACATACTTCCGCTAGGGTCATCAGTGGCCAGCTGCCTACCAAGCGCAGTGGACACCTCTCTGACCCCTTTTGCCCGGGTGTGGCTGCCTCAGGATCTCCCTCCATGCCTTTCACAACACCAGGCTTCTCTCTGCTTGCTTGTGCTTCCAGAGTCACGTCTGTGAAACTGTGGCCTGCTCCTCGGTCATAAAGATTGACTCCTATGTTTCTTCCTGGAGTTTTATCAGCAAACTTTTTATGTGAAGGATCATACAGTAAATATTTAACTTTGCTGCCCACACATGGTCTCTCTTGTGTATCGTTGTTTGTTTTTCAACCGTTACTACCTGTGAAAACTGCCCCCAGGGCGTACAGATGCAGGCTGCAGGCCAGGGTTGGCTCCTGGGCCACCGATCACAGCTGCCTGCGTCAGGCAGGGCCTTGCGGTGGAAGGTTGAGTCATGCCACAGAGTTGAGCTGGGGTTGAGATTTCTCGTTGCCATGGTTACCTTGCCTGCACCGCAGGCTGGGCTGGGCTGGTGGAAGGGAAGAGAGCAGGGGCTGCTGAGGTGCCAGGCTTGCCCCAAAAGGCCCTCCTCTGTCCCCAGCCTTCAGCCCTGCCGCCTGCCAGCGCGGGCGGGGTCTCCCCCCTCCCGTGCCCCTCCCGCACTGGTGCTGCTTCCTGGGTGTGGGCGAGGCTGGTGGCAGGAGCACATGGGGCTGCTCTGCTGTCCTCGGCCTGCGCTAGGCACCTGGGTCTGGTGTGTTGGGCTCTCAGCATTCCTGTCGCCCCGTACACCTCTGCCCTGCCCCATAGCAGCCAGTCTCCACCTAATGTCACAATGGGCACTGCGCGTGAGCAGGTCCCCTGTCCCTGCCCAGTGGCAGGAGACCTCTAATGGCCATGTGTGCTGTTCTGGCTCAGGACTGGCTCCGGCCCTCCCCACATTGGAATGGACATGAACCCCTGCCTTTGTGCCTGTGGCACTTGCTACCTCTCCTCTGCAATCAGTCTTAGGCTTTTGTTTCATAGGAGAGAAGGGTCTGGATGGGAATGAGATGGGGGTGGGAGGTTGGGGCTGGGTACTGGTTTCTAACCTCTCCGGTGGTAGCAGACAGCACCCTCCTCCATGCCCAGCCGCAGGGCGGCTCCCTCTGCCCTCCTGCCCTCTGGCTGGTCTCTTGTTTGAGCACCCAGGGAGGCCCAGGGGAAGAGCGTGGGGCGGGAGGGACCACCTGTCCTGTCTGGGCTTCTTGAAGGGTCTGTCCTACCCTCAGATACCCTGCTCAGACTTTAGCACTTCAACCCTTGAGCTGATGCCTGCCTACCTGCTTGTGTGGCACTGGCTCTACTCCTAGTGAGATGGTGCCCCTGTCCAGTCCTTCCTGGGAGGGCCTTGTTCCTCCTTGGCCTTCTGGCTCCATCGATACCCCGTGACCTCATGTCTCCACGGGTTTGAGGATGTGTCGTGAGTGTGTATCTTGTCAGCGTGACTCACAATCAGCCTGGGAGCCAAGCTGTGCCTCCCTCACGGAAGCGGCCCCTCTGCAGGCCCATCTGTATGTTTTAGGGGATGCGGATAGAGCTGGTTCGCTCTCTGAGGCGCTCTGTCAACCGCCGGATCGTCCCAGAGTCCCTTTCCATTTGTGTATCTGGGCTGAGGTGGTTGGAATAGGCAAGGGGCATCAGAGGAAAGGTGGTGCCAGGGGCCGGGGGCTGGGCGCCGGCCTGCGGGGAGAGTCACCCAGTGTTAGTGACTTGACCAGTCGGGTTGCCTTCAGCCTTCCCTAGGTGAAGCCCGTCCCCTGGAGGAACACCGATCCACTTAGGGCGAGCTAACGTATCATTCTTTCCATCTTTGTAGACCCTGGAAGCTATCCTGAATTTCAAATACTCCGGAGGCCCAGGCCACAGTGAAGGATATTACAGGAACCTCTCCCTGGGGCTGCATGTAGACGTCGAGCCATCCGTGTTTTTCACCCGAGTCAGCACTCTGCCGGCAACCAGGTAAGCAGACCTCGGCGCTGATACCCTTGTCCTGGCCTCACAGCACCGGGATTGGATTCCCACCCCACCTCTGTTCTCTGTGGTCCCACCACCTGTTGGATCTGAGTGTTGCCGACCTCCGAGCACTTCCGTGTTTTCACACCCCGCGGCGCCTTCTGTTTCAGGGCAGGACAGAACGGGTTAGTGCTGTTTGCTCCTAGTGGAGGTGGAGCAGCAGTGATGGCAAATACCTACCTGAGAGCATGAACAGGGGGCAGAGGGCGCACCGCAGTGCCCCCCCCCTCCACCAGCGGGCTTTATATTCCACAGAGGAAGACAGGGGTGTCGGTGTCCATGTTAACATGGCTATAAAACACCATTTAAAGTGATACAGCCTCAAATAATACATGTGGTTTTTAGCTTATAGGAAAGACCGTGTTTCTTCCCAGCCATGCGAGAATGGCTCCAGCAAAAATTAATGGCTTAGCCTGGGCTTTTTACCATGGATTTCATCATCTATCACTTTTCAATCCTCAGAGTAGGATAGTCTTTCTTGCCAAGGCTTGCCTCTGTTTTGCATCTGTGTAAAGCACTTGCCCCCCGGGAAGCCTGGGCCAGGACTGCTGCCAGAGGCCATGAAAGTGTCCCAGCCCTTCTGTGCGTGAGGCCTGCTGCATCGGAAACCTGGTGTGCGCCTCTTCCCAGCCCCCCTTCCCTGTCGCACTGCTCATGCCAATGGTTCTCAGAAGCAGCGCAGGTTGTCGCTGAGTTTCTTTCCCTCCCATGGATATCTAGCCTCCACGTGCGGCCCTGCAGCTCTAGCCAACAATGCCAGGGGAGGAGAGTGCCCCTCCTCTGTGTACAGAGGCGCCTCTGGGGAGCTGTGGTCCGTCCAAGTGCTGTTTGTTTCCTGGTTGCCCGACCCGGTAACCTCTCTGTCTCTTTGCTTGGTTTACATGTTTCCTGGCCCTGCTCTTGGGATTGAGATTTGATTTCTTTTAATCCTCCCTTTTCATTCTTGCCAAGTCCCACTGATCCCCAAATCCCATGATTGGGCCTCTGAGATGTGTCCTGGCCGCCCTCCGCGTTCCACAGCACGTCTTTGTCACCCCTGCTTGGACCCTGGAAGGAGCTGCCCACTTGGTCTCCCTGCTGCTGGGCTTGCTCCTCTCGTCCTCTGAATGCAGACGTTCCCACATTCCCGTCTGGCGTGAGGACTTTCCCAGTACTTAGGAGATAAAGTTCAAAGTCTTTACTATGATTCTCAAGGTACTTTTTGGTCAGACCTTTTGCCTTGTACTCCTCCACACGTCGTCAACTGAAAGACACTTTGCTTCTCACCGTCACTGGGATATGTCAAGACAGTTTATTCCAGGGTGCCTTTATATACATCTTTTTTTAAAACTGTTCTTTTTCTTAAACTGTGATTCCTTCACTCACCCTTTCGGAAAGCATCTGTTCGCCATTGATGATCTATGTACCATTTTTGTAGAACTTCACTGAATATGACTATGCAGAGTGGGTTGGGCCTTCGAAGGGTTCCCCTCTACATTTTTCATACTTCTAATAAAGCACTTCCTAGACCGCAAGTCTTGAAGCCACCACCTCCAGTGTTTTAAGTGCCCTGTGAAGCACTCACTGGAGTAAGAGCTGGATAGAGCACAGTCCTTGTGTTTTATCAGCCTGATGAAAGCTCATCGAGCGGAAATAATGCCAAGTGGAATCTACATTAAGGGCCGATGAATCAGTGAGTGAATAAATAAACGATTTCTTCCCCTCCCTTTTTTTTTTTTTACTTCTCTTTATTCACTTACATTTTATTTTTTTCTCCTCATTTCCTGATTTCCTTAAAAGACTACTGACTCTCTAAACAAGAAATAATAGCCTTAAATTTTGTAGTGCATATCATGTGCAGAAGTAAAAATGGAACAGAAAAGCATAAAGACATGGAAAGCAAGCAGGGAAGAGGAGACTTGGAAGTTCTTACATGGAAAGTGCGTTAAGATTATTTGAAGTTAGAACGTGATACGTTAAAGATGTGTGTGGTAAACCCTCCAGAAACTACTTAAAGTATGAATGACACGCCATGAGGGAGAAAATGGAAAAATGCTCAATCCAAAAAGTAGGAAGAGGTGGTAAGAAAGGAGGAGAAAAGAACCAGGAATGTAGGTCCAATAGGAAACAAACAGCAATGTGGTGGACTTACAGCCACTGCAGCAAAGATTACATTAAATGTGAATGGACCAAACACTGCATTTAAAGGTAGAAATTGTCAGACTGTATAAAAAAGCAAGAGCCAACTGTATGTTTTCTATAATAAACTCACATTAAATATAAAAGCAAAAAGGAAGTTGTATGGGTACATTAATATTAAACAAGGAGGGTTTCAGAAGAAAATGGGAAGATAGTTTGTAATGATAAAAAGGGTCACGTCATCAAGAATACCTAACAATCCTAAATGCAAACACACTTGAAAACGTGACTTCAAAATACAACGCACATCTGAAGAGAAAAATGGAAACAACCACAGTTTTAATTGGATAGTCCAAAACTTGTCTCTCAGCATGTAATAGAACAAGCAGACAGAAGATTAGTAAAAATATAGAAAACTTGTACCATATTAGTAAACAACTTTAGCATATATATCCTTCTATAAGAAAAGTTGAATGGTTTATATTGAGTGATGTGTCTACATTAGATAAAGAACACAGTGTGCCCAGAATGAAGTAAAGAAAAGTGAGTATCAATGAAATAGAAAATGAAAAATAATACATGAAGTCAATGGAACCAAAAGTTGATTCTTCTGAAAGGATTAATAAATTAGTGAACTATAGCCAGGATGGTCAGAATAAAAAAAAAAGATAACACAAATTACTAAGAATAAAAAGGGGGACGTTAGTACAAATGCTGCAGTCATGAAAGAATATTATGAAAAATCAAAGTCCAATAAATTTTGGCAAATGAAATGGAAAAACATTTAAAAAGACATAAATTACTAAAGTTCACACAAGAAGAAATGGAATCCCTGAGATAGTCAAATGTCAGTTAATGAGTTTAAATTTTTATTTAAAACTTTTCCACAAAGCAAACTTCAGGCTCAGATGGCTTCACTGACACATAAAACTGTTAAGAGAGAAATAATACCACTTTTACAAAATGAAAAATTCAAAAACAAATAATACCACTTATACAAAACAGACAGTGCTTCAAATTTCCATATTATGACACTAGCTTCACTCTGATGCCAAACCATATTAGGGACATTATATGAAAAAATAATTCCTTATGTCTATAATTGTAAGAGTTCTAAGCAAAATATTAGCAAATCAATGAAATAGGCAAATAACTTCACAAAAAAGAACAAAGTTGGAGGACTCAGACTGTATGATTTTAAGATTTAAAGTTACGATAATCGTTAAGAGGATATTATCGAAATAGGGATCAGATACTCATGCTTATATGATAACTGATTTTTAACAAGGCATGAAAAAATTTCACGTGGAACAGAAAGACTTTTCAACACACGGTGCTGTAAGAACTGGATATGTATGTGAGGGAAAAAAGAACTTCTGCCCATACATCCCATCATACACAAAAACTCAATTGAGATAGATTCTAGACCTAACTGAAAAAACTTTAAACTTCCCCAAAGAAAAAGTAGCAGATTATTTCGTACCTTTTGGGCAAAGGTTTCTTAGATAGGGTCAGAAATGACTAAGTATAAAAGAAAAAGTTGAAAGGTTGGATTTTATCAAAGTGAAAAACATCAGCTCATCAAAAGCCAAGCTACACACTGGTAGAAACTATTTGCAGTACATTTATACAGTAGAGGTCTTGTATTCAATACATGCATTTATCACAAAAGAAGGTCTACAAATGTCCCACAGCCACCTGAAGTGCTAAATATCATTGACCCTTAGGGAAATGGAAATTCAACCACAGATAGATACCACTGCACACCATCTAGAGTGGCTCAAATAAAGGAAGACTGACAATACCAAATGCTGGTAAGAATGTGAACAACTGGAACTCTGAAACTGCTTATGGAGTGTGAAATGGTATAACTACTTTATAAATCAGGCAGTTTCTCATTAATTTCTACCTCCCTAAATATCCAGCAAATATTTACTGAAGAGAAATAAAAATTCACATCCACAAAAAACACTCCTGCAAGAATTTTGATAACCACTTTATTTACAATAACTCCAGCCTGGAAACCACCCCAAATCCCATCAGCAGGTGAAGGAATAACTAGTCGTGGTATATCCATACGGGGAATATTACTCAGATAAAATGAAACTCTGCTACGTGAAACAACATGAATTAAGCTCAGAATCATGACCCTGATCAAAGGAATCTGATCACAAAAGAAGACATTGCTCTATGACTCCGTTTACACCAATTTCTGGAACAGGAAAACCATTTTATGATGAATCTGAACAGTGGTTGGCTATGGGTAGAGGTGGGGTGGGGTGGGGATTGACCTGGAGGGACTAGGTCACCCATTGTCCCAGTTTGCCTGGAACTTTATGGCTTTTGCTCTGAAATGCCCTCACCCTGGGAGAGCCTTCAGCGAAGGGCAGACCTGGAGAGTTGGCCACCTGAGCAGGAAGCAGGCATCTTTCTGAAATGATGAAGTGCTGTGTGTCTGGATGGGGTGTGGGTGACAGGGCTGGAGACAAATGTGAAAACTCGTCAAACTATATACTTCAGGTGTATCTATTTCATTGTGTATAAATTAAATCGACTTTAAAATTTTGTTGCTTACCTGTAAAAATATATATGTGATTGTTGAGAGTGCCTGATGTTTACTAGAGAAGTCTGGGAAGGCCTCCTGGAAAATGAAGCAGTGTCCTGATTCTTGAAGAATGGGTAGGACTTCACCTCCCATTCCCAGGGAGGGCTGTTGGGGTGGGGGTGTTGCTAGCTTTGTGTGTCTGTTCCCCTCATCAGACCCTGCATTCTGTGCACTCCTGGGATAGTTTGTGTGTCTGCTCCTCTCATTAGTATTGATAGTTTAT